CCCGGCCTCCCGCTGTGAAATCTCAGAGGAGAAATCCAGGGAGTTTAATCTATTGGCAGATGGTTCCGCTCCTCACAGAAGCCATCTCAAGGACACTGCCTGAACCAGGGGTGTCGCTAACCCCTGTTCAACAGCACTCGACGTAGGCGGCGTGACCCACGTCACATACTTCATCCAAGGCCCCGGACCTGCCCTCACCCACGCAGGCCGTTGTCGGGAAGGCACATGCAGTCGCAGCTCAGATAACGGACTTGCCTCACTGTTTTCTCTCCGGAACAGTAAGCTCCCAGGCGAAACTGAGAAGTTTTCTCTGGGTTAAAGCTGGGCAGCTTGACTTATTTTTAAATGTATTGTGCAATACTGTTACACTCCCCACATGTGAAAGCGCAATGTAGTGAATTAGCACATTCTGGGGAACAGTTTGACATGTCTTTACCCGGCAGCCCTGCTCTTGGGCGTGCCTCTCGGGCAGTGCTTAGCTGACTTTCTGTAAAGGCCGGATAGTAAGTATTTTGGGATCTCTTGCAGTGACTCTCCTTTGCCACTGTAGTGAGAGAGCGTGATGCAAAAACAAACGGACAGGCGTCTGTGTTCCAATAAAACTTTGCTTATGGACACTAAAGTGTGAATTTCATAGAATTTTCATATAATATTTAAAAAGATAAAAATTGTTAGTATGCAGGTTGTTCAGCAGTGTGACATGGTGGCCCAGCTGGCGTGGCTCAGCGGTTGAGCATCGACCTAGGATCCAGGAGATCGGGGTTCGATTCCCGGTCAGGGCACATGCCCCGGTTGTGGGCTCGATCCCCAGTCAGGGGCATGTAGGAGGCAGCTGATCAATGACTCTCTCGTCATTGATGTTTCTCTCTCTCTCTCCCTCACCCTTCCTCTCTCTGAAATCAATAAAGACATATTTAAAACAACAACAACGTGACACGGTGGATTTGGCCCGAGGCCATAGGTTGCCTGCTGGACTGGGACCGTGTCCTCAGCCCTCGCCGTGATGGTGGGAAGGTTCGGTGTCTGCATTCTCTACTCGGTAGTTACTAGGCGCCTGCGGCTGTTGAAATTCTGCCAGTGCATGGAGGAACTGACTTTTTAATATTTAATTTTAACATGAATTTTAATTTAATTTGACATAGCCCCATGTGACTACTGGCTACGGCATTGGCCAGCACAGATCCAGAGACACGCTGTGGGGGTGCAGCAGGAACCACGGACAGACCTATCCATTGTAGCTCGTTCATAAGCAGCAAAAACTGGCATTGTGGCATTATCGTCCCACAGTGGGAATGACTGTGGTGATGGCAGACGCTGCGGAGGGCCTGCTCTGTCCAGGCAGCGTTTTACGCACTGTACCTGTGTTGACTCACTGGGTTCTTATGTATGTGGTAGTGAAATGAATGCACCGCAGCCGTGGACACCATCCAGGATGAATGGATTTTAGACCCCAGGCTGAGTAAGAAGGCAAGACACAAAAATTCTGTACTGGGTGATGCNATCAGTGACTCTCTCATCATTGATGTTTCTATCTCTCTCTCCCCCTCTCCTTTCCTCTCTCTGAAATCAATAAAGATATATTTAAAAATAATAATAATAAAATAAATAAAATAAATTGTCATTCTAGGCCCGGCTGGTGTGGCTCGGTTGGTTGGGCGTCGCCCGGTGCACCGAGAGGTTGCTGGTCACCGGTCGGGGCACACGCCTTGGTTTCCGGCTCCATCCCCCGTGGGGGGCGAGCGGGAGGCAGCTGATCAGTGTCGGCCTCACACATGGATGTTTCCCCCTCTCCCCCCCTCTCCCTCCCTCTCTAAAAATCGATTTAAAAAAACCTTTAAAAAAATAAGATAATCGTTCTGACCTGCTGTATTTCCTTTCTTTTTTTTAAACACAGCTAACAAGCACAAGCCCTGGCTTGAGCCCACCTACCACGGCATCGTGACAGAGAACGACAACACCGTGCTGCTCGACCCCCCGCTGATCGCCCTGGACAAAGACGCCCCTCTGCGGTTCGCAGGTACCAGCTGTGAGCGCGGTTTTGTTTGCTCTGGATGCTGGACCGGGTGGGATGCACCGGGAATGTTTCTGACCCTTCCTCAAAGTGTCTTGATGGCTAAGGGTGGTTTGTGGCTCCCGGGCACCATACCCTCTCTTGTTAATTTTAATAGTGGGGGCACCTGACCAAAGAGCCTGTGCTTGTGGTTGAAAAGCAGAATATTTCATCGCATCCTTTCATTCCTTGTCTCGGTATCATCAGGCAGGTAACGCCTAGGCCAGCGTGTCTCAGAAAGTCACGCACACAGCTCGCCTGCGGGCCGAGTTACAGACTCGGTTCCAGAGGGTTGGGGGGACCCGAGATTCAGCCCCCCTGACCCACCCGCAGGTGCTGCGTGTGCCGCTGGCCCGTGCGAGGCAGGGACCTGGGTAATTACAGCTCAGGGTCTCCCTCGCACTCCCTGTTTCAGTCGCCTGAAAAGACTTATTTGAAAATGCCGAGCAGTCTTTATAGAGAATCCTTTCGCTTAGATTTTACTTTGAATAAATTTTTTAAGTGGAGGTATTTCCTAGGATTGTAACCTGGCTGCAGCCACAGATCTGGGATCGCTCGGAGATTTGCTGCTTTGCTGACATTCAATAGCACTTTGTACATCAGGGTGGTTCTTGTTTAAGTCCTGTCGGTAGTAAGTTCCCTGGCCGGCGGAGAGATGTGCCGTGTCACCCTCTCCTTGCCTCAGGGTCGTAGTCGACGCTGAAGTTGATTTTCAAAGAGTAGTTGTTGCCACGATATTTTTCCAGGACAGAATTTCTCACGTTAGTGTGTGCCGTTTGCCTGGGACAGTAGGAAGAATTCAGTTACCTGGTATAGATCAGGCGTTACATCAACCTCGCTGTGTGTAAATGGAGGGAAGTGGACGTGTTTCTGGAGCTGTTTGAACAGTAAATCTGTTCTTCACTCTCTTCAAGTGCCCCAGCCCATTTTCAGGAAGGAAGCCTGAGAACCAGCTGGCTGATTGAGTCAGCGGTGGACACAGACATCTGAGTAGTTTCGATTGTTTATTGGTTTTTAGCGAGAAATCCAATTAGAAGGACAGGAGAGGAAGCACTCGGTGCCGTGAACACTCACACACGGTATTTGTGTAGCAGCCGAGGCGTTTTTCCTGCCTGCTCCCTCCTTCCCCGAAACTCGGAATCCCGTTAGCACGGCATGTCGGTGTCGCCTGGAGCTGCTGGTTTCTGCAGGGCTGTGTGCACATGTACGCGTGTGCTCTGTGGGCCCTACTTAGTTATCATGTACACTCGTCCGTGAGCGCGGCGGCCAGTGCCGTGTAAATAACCTAACAGGAGCGTCGAGCTGATGATCCTGGGCGGACTTAGGCATTCCCCACACCCCCCGCCGTCTAAGCGGTGGTTGGAGCCAGGAGCTCCACGTCGATCCCTCGGGCCTCTCTCTCCTCTGAAGGGCCAGCCGCACACGGGCCTGTGGTTTGTGCTTAGACCAGCGCCTGGGACTAGTTGACACTCCACAGATATTGTAGGAGGAGCGAGTGTTTGTCCGAGATCACACGGCTCCTGAGCGATAGAGCCGCCTTCCTGCCTGGCGGTCCCACTCCAGCCTCGACCGGTAGGTTCACTGTCAGCTCCCGTGTTGTTATCTGTAAAATGTTGTAAATATCCTGGTTTCCGGTCTTAGCCCATCACAGGAATGTGTGCAGGGAACCACCGGAGATCGCTGGTCAAGCTTCTGAGGAAAGTGCGTGGGCAACGTTGGCAGCTTAGTCGCCAAAGTGCTCTGTGAATTGTCCCTAATCAGACGTTTGTGTTGAACGCACAGGGTCTAGGCCAGATTGTTTTCTTGGGGTCAAACAGGAGAATTAATTCTTGGTATTTGTCAAGTAGTTTAAGAAATTAAAATGACTAAATTGCTCATTCAGCCCCTTTCCTTAATCTGCTAAAAGCCTGAGTCGAGGTAGGTGAGAAATTGTGTTGTCCGTTTTGTGTATTTGATGGGGAGCTAAAAGCTTGAACCCCTTACACAGGCCACGTTGTCGCCTTTTGGACAGTCGCCCCTTCTTCGCTGCCCGTGGCAGATGCCGAGCACCCCGCCTTGTCACCCCCGCTTGTAGGCTGTCCTTTGTGGTAGTTGGTTTCATTCCAGCACCCTGTCCTGCTTTCCCAGACTGAGTGCAGAGATTTTACAAGGTTGGTTAAACGGCTGCGATAGAAATAGAATCCAGAAGAAATTTCAGGGCAAGGACGGGAGCTGTGTTCCCGTCGGTGGTTCGTTGGCACCAGCTCAGGTCTGTGATCCTGTCCTCGTGTTCTGTGTCACTTACGGGACTCACACCCGGAGGTCGAGGTGGCCGATGGCGCTGAGCCGACGGCCCGCCCCCCACGCCCCCGGCACTGCCTTTCAGCATGTGCCACGGCTGACACTGCGTTTGTAGCAACGAGGTGGGTGTATTTGGTTAAGCCACCTGAAATCGCCATTTTTATATGTTGAAACTATCAAAATACTTGAAAAAATGGAATATTGGAAACTTCATTGGCTCAGCCTGATTACTGTAAGGCAGCAGTCAGTTGAGTAGCAGATGTAAGTCAGCACCTGGGTGTTAGGACAGAAATTGCACATTAACAGCTACTGAGTAGCGTGAGCTCATTTTGGATACAGTTGCCTCCAGGAAAGGTTTGGGATCAGTAATCATTAAATATTAAGTGACTCTGCCAGGTCTTTGGAGACCATAAAGAAGCATACAAGCTCGCCCTTGTTCTCAAAGCCCTGACTGGGGGGCTCAAAACCAGCACTGGCAGAGGACCCCAGGTACTGGGAGGTTTGTAATTCAGTGCCCAGTGAGAGCCAGCGCACGGGACAAGCCAGGTTCATTAAAGGCAAGGAAATGCCAGGTAAAGGAGGCAAGGGGAGCTCCCCGTGGGTGGCGGCATTGACGTAGGCGGTGAGGCGCCGGGAGGGATGGGACCTGGCCGGGCTTCAGAGCCCCAGGTGAGCAGTTAGCTGGAGCGGCCAGGGTGGCGGGAGGGAGCAGAGGGTTGGTCACTTTAGGGTCGCGTGTGTCCTCTGCTGAGCGGAACAGTTGGGATGTGCACGTATATCCCTAAATGGGGTTCATGTCCCCGGGGCCCGACCACCAGTGCAGGTCCCTGAGCTCTGCTCCTGGCTGCCCGAGACTGCACCTCCGGGGCAGAGGCCAAGAAACCTCAGCGCAGGCCGTGGCCCAGTCTGCGCGGGGACCGCCTGGCAGTGCTGGTTAAAAACACAGATTCCTGGGCTCCCAGAGCTGCTGAGTCAGAATTTCTGGGGATGGGGCTTTTTCAAACCAGATTTGGAACAAGCTTCCCCAGCAGTTCTTGGCACTGAAATTTGAGGGCGATTGCTGTAGTCCAGGGATTCCAGCCAGTGTGCTGCAAGACAGTTTAAAACATGCAGTACCTGACTGTTCAGTCAGGAGCACTGACCTGTCTTCCTTTAGATTCTCAAATAAAAAAGTGACAGCAGCCAACACAGTAGCTGTCCCATGTGGGTGAATCAAAATTATACCAATTTTTTTTGTCAGATCGGCAAAAAATGCATTTTTTGGCATGCCGCAGACTTTTAGTAAGTAGTCTGTGTGCCATGAGATGACAGGAGCTGAAAACCGATGCTGTGGTCAGTGAGGAGCTCCGGGTCGTGATGCCGGGCTGTGAGGGCGAGGCCGCCCGCGCGCAGGTGCGTGTATTTTCTCCGTTACTGTACGTTTAAGGTGCTTAAGAAGCCGTGCCGATAAGAGCCGCATGTGAGCCTGGACCGGTCACCAAAACTGAGCAGCAGCCTGGATGCCCAGCTGTGAGCGTGGACGCCCTGGCCAAGCGGAGGGGTGGCCGGAGCGGAGCGTTGGGTTAGCAGGACGTCGTAGCGATGCTGCGCGTCTGCGTCTGTCCCGTGCGTGCAGCTGATAGAACTGCGCATCAGGTCGGGGAGAGGGAAGAGAAAGGAGTGGACAGCCTTAAAGCTTGAAGAGTCAGCTCCTGGGCGCGCGGGGCGTCACCGACGGAAATGGTCCCTGCGTAGGGGGGGCAAACGCCGAGCGTCAAGAGGCAGGAGGACGCGCACAGTGAAGACACCGGAGGAACCGTGGTTAATTTTGTCGGCTGTGTGACGTCGCTGTAGTTCTGTTAAGGAAGAAGCCTTTGTGAGAGATTCCTGGTGACTTTTGTATGGATGAAACAGTTTAATGTCTGGCTTTAAAATACTCCAGAGGCAGGACGCTGGGTAAATGCGGCAGGCGCCGGAGCACCCCCTTCCCCCAAGTCTTTCCCTTTCTCTGCCCTCGTTCCCTAAGTGGCACCATCAGCCGGAACCCAGGGAGTCCCTGCGGACTCTCTCGCTCCCCCGTGCAGTTGGCTACGAAGTCCAGTCTACCCTAAAAGTCCCCGAGTCCTAAGACACTGCCCCAGTTCAGCCCCGTCAGATCTCGCCTTGGCTGCTGGCCCCGGGCCTTGCTGCGCTGGGATCCGTCTTCCGCGTCAGCGGCGGGCTCCTAGGAGGAGCAAGCAGATGGGCCCGTGTCGCCAGCCCGCTGGCCGGTGTGCGGGTGACGCTCGGCCGTGACTCGCGGGCCACGCAGCGGGCACGTGAAGCCCAGGCCTGCCAGCTGTGCAGGCGGGACCAGCCTGCCTGGCAATTTAATAAGTGCCCGTGGATGTGGGGCACCGAAGCCCGTCGAGTGGGGTCGGGGACATGCGGCGAGGGGCAAGTGTACATGTTTGCTGCTCTCATTGTGAATGCGTCCAGTCGCTCAGGGAGCAGCCTGGAAACACATGGTGAGTGTCCGGGTAATTTATACTCTTACGCCTGACAGTTATACGTCTGAGATGCTGTTCCTGCAAAAACCGTAGGGCAGATCGTGTTCAGAGCTACAGGACAAATTCCCGCCCTCCCTCCAGACCACCTACGGCCCCCCCATGTGAGCAGGAGGCCGCCTCGTCCTTGCGGTGTCTCACTCGCCATCCCACAGCCTTGGCCTTACTTTCAAAACGCATCCCAAACCTGCCCACCACTCTCCGCCCCATGTCCCCCGTGGTCTGGCCTTCAGCCTCTCGCGCCTGGATGACCCCAGTGACCGTCTGTGCCCCTTAGAGACTGATTCTCAGCAGAGCAGCCAGACAGAGTCTTCCAGAATATGAGAAATACATTTATTTCTCGGCTCCGAAGGCTCCGGTCATTTCCTTCTCACTTGGAGGACAAGCTGCCAGGGGAGCGTCAGGTCACCTCCCTGTGCCCTCTCCCTGAAATTCTTACCCAGCGAGTCGTGTTTCCCTCGTTTCTCCTGGTTTCTGCTCAGACGTTATCTGTCCGTGGAGCCTTCCCGGAACACCTGAAGGGTAAAGTTGGAACACCCC